GAATTTAGAATGGGAAATGAGTTGGCCTCCTCTCATACACAGCATCTAAGAGCATGCCTGTCTTCTCTGTTGGTCACAAAATCAAACACAAGTTTCACCAGTGGACGAGCAAGAACCTCTTTAAAGTTCTGAGAACTGGAACCAGAGTTTGCTAGCTATCACTGGGCCATTTTGTCCCCATAAGAGGTAGAAGATAGTTACGTGCTTTGAGATTATTGGATGGAAGAGGCTGACATCATTCTGCCTTTTAAAAAAAAAAATTATACTTGGGAGAAGATGCAATAGCTTTCCCCTCCTCACTGCCTTTTTGCTCAACAATTCCCACCTTTGCTTAAGTAATAGCATCTGCTGTTCCTCCTCTCTGGAGGGACTTTGTGTGCTGTTTTAGGTAAGCAAATCTCATACTGAGCCTAAGACTTAAAAAAAGAGAGAGAAACTTACTAGTATCCCAAAAACCCAAGCAGTTTTTTTCCCCAGTTCTTCCCTGCTGTCTCTTCCTCAAAAATTAAGTGCAGACCAGTGACACATTTCTTACAATTTGGTGGGACTTTTAAAAAAAAAAAAAAAGAAAAAGAAAAAGGGGGATTCATGTCGAAGCTCAGGCTTGGTAGAGTTGTGTTCACACTCTGAAGTGGCTGATTTTGCTGTCTTGTCCACTAGGGCAGTGGGAGCTCAGGTGGTTTTGATCAGGAATCAGCTTGGAGCTCAAAGGGCCCTGGAAAGTCCCTGGGGGTGATTTTCCAAATAGGGAAGTGGTAGTGTGGTGGGTTGAGACTGTGGCCTCCCTGTGAACTTCCCTGTAAGGATTTCTTAAAGCCCCGCCCGCCCTTCCTGAAAGCCAAGGGCAAAGGTTGTTGTTGTTGTTGTTAAGTGCCGTCAAGTCGGTTCCGACCCATAGTGACCCTGCACAGGGTTTCCGAGGGTGTAAATCTTTACGGGAGTAGAAAGCCTCATCTTTCTCCCACGGAGCTGCTGGTAGTTTCGAACCGCTGACCTTAAGGTTCGCAGCCCAATTCGTAACCACTACGCTACCAGAGCTCCTTTAAGGGCAAGGGTAAGAGACATAAACTTAGGCTGCCCCTGCACCTAGCTCTGAGGTTGTAGCCCTGTTGGACACTGCTGACGAAGTGGCCTGAATACTGGGGGTCACCCTGGGGTGACTGCAGTCAGCTGTGCATTTCTTTTCCTTGGGTTCACCTTGTCAACTTTAACTTCTTTCTTGGTTCTGAGACCAAGTCCACAACTTGCCTTCTAGTCACTTGTGTGTCCTCAGTGGCAGTTTCTGCCCTGTCTTGGCTTAGCCTTGAGACCCAGAGAACCGCTATCTTTTTTCTCCTCAAGGGAGAAAATAAAGCTGGGCACCGTGATGTCCTTCCACAGTATGGGAAGAGGAAAATAAAACTTTCCAACAGCTTTGACTTGTGTGTCTGGTAAGAAACAAACATCCGCCTGTGGGGGTGGCACGGGGTCTCCACAGTAGAATGGATGACACAAGCTGCTTCTGCAGGGGCCATACTAGGGCAGTGTTCATGGCTTCATTCTCAGCCATCTGTGTGGCCCTCAGTCCAGAGACATGGCTTGTGTAAGAGGAAGACTCACCCTGGGGCCCCTTCCGCCTTGGCTGTGAACACTAGACAACTTCTGTATTTCAGCACTCTTAATTCCCCAAGGGGAAAGAAGTCATACTTGTACCCTGGCGTCCAGGATGCGTTGCACAGTGCTGGCGTTGGTTTCATCTGCCAGTAAAGCATAGGAAAGTCCCCCGGGGAAGGAGGCTGCCATAATGGAGACAGGACAGGGGAACTGTGAGGTCAGGCTCAGAAGCGTCAGAATTGCTAGGTGCTGTCCAGTCGTTTCCGACTCAGCAACTGTGCACAACAGAATGAAACGGGTCCTGAGATACCACCCATTATGAGATACCACCACCCTCACTGTGCTACTCCACCTCGTTGGGGGTGTTCGTCTTTCTCACTGTCCCTCCACTTTATCAAGCATGATGTACCCATCATGACACCTAAAAAACACAAAACACACGCCCTACCCCAAACTCTGTGTCATGGGACATCAATAATGGTCACATAGAGCTTCTCATAGTATGGTGGTTCCTGGGGTGGCACTGTGGGTTAATGTGCCAGACCGCAAAGCCATTTGAACTGCAAGGTCGGTGGTTCAGCTGCTCCTTGTTAACCCTATACAAGGTCGCTATGGGTTGGAACTCACTCCATGGCACTTCACAACAACCCTAAACTGCCCCTAGTGGGAGCTATGTATCTGGGCAAGATTCCTCATCCCAGTAGGCCTCAGTTTACCACTGTAAAAATTGGGCTAGATTGAACTGAGCCAACAAATGCTAGTTCTCTGGGACAGTGCTTCCTGAGGTTTTTGACACTGTTAGGTGCCATTGAGTCAGTACCGACCCATAGCGACTTTATGCACAACAAAACAAAACACTGCCTGATCCTGGGCCAACCTCGCTACTGTTGCCACACTTGAGTCCATCGATGCTGTCACTTGGCCATCTCGTTAGGGGTCTTCCTCTTTTTCTCTGACCCTCCACCCTACTAAACATATCCTTCTCCAGCGACTGGTTCCTCCTGACAATATGTCCCAAGTATGAGAGATGAAGTTTTGCCCATCCTGGCCTCCAAGGAGCACTCTGGCAGCACTTTTTCCAAAATGGATCTATTGGTTCTTTTGGCAGCCCGTGGCACTTTCAATATTCTCCAACACCATAACTCAAAAGTATCAATTCTTCTATGGTCTTCCTTCTTCACTGTCCAGCTTTCACATGCATATGAGGTTACTGAAAATACCATGGTCAGACACACCTTAGTCCTCAAGGTGACATCTTTGTTCTTCAACACTTTAAAAAGGTTTTGTGCAGCAGATTTGCCTAATGCAGTATGTCCTTTGATTTCTTGACTGCTGCTTCCGTGAGTGTTAGTTGATCCATGAATGAAGTCTTTGACAACTTCACTCTTTTCTCCTTTGATAAGAATGTTTATTGGTCTAGTGGTGAGGACTTTTCTTTACATTGAAATGTAAAGAGATGCTAATTAAGTGATCACTGTAATGAGGGGGGAAAGGGGGAGGGAGGGCGGGAAATCCTGGTTCAGTCGGGCGGAGGTGGACTATGGACTAGAGGTCAGTGATGGGGTTTCTCCCTGCTGTCCCTGAGGATTTTGCTCCCATACACTCCAAATCCGGCAAGTGGCCTCGGTTCTCAATGTCCTCTCCTCACAGGGCCAGGAGGGTGGGAAATTGGTTAGGCCTGGGAATTACACAACTGACATCGAGTCAAGTCGACATAAACTGGAGAGATTTCCCGGATACACTGCATGCTTCAATAGAGCACCCGACAGTTCGGCAGAATACATCATTGTAAAAATACGGGACCGGCTCTAAGTTTCTGATCCTTTCTTGCCTCGTCATTACAAGGGGCACTGGGTGGGGACGCCGAATAGACCTCCCCCTCACCTATTTGAGGGGTTGCTCGCCGAGTCGGAACTGACTTGGCGACACTTTAACAACGGAGTGAACACCCCCATGAACGACCTGGTTTTAACTTCGAAGCCCGCCATGGCCCTCAGAGAACCCACGGAAGCTGGACGTGTCCCCCTGAACTCATGTCATTGTTGCAAAGCACTTCTAGTATTCGTTTCCATCTTCGGTTTGCCATTTTCTTGGTGATAGTAACACTGTTTGGGTCGCACTGGAGGCCGCTACGTCTCCCAGAAAGGGCAGCGGAGAGCCCAGTCCGGCGGCGGGAATCGGGTTGACCGCGCCGTCTTTTCCCGCGTGGGTCTGAGCTCAGTCACCAAGCAGCCCGCCCACCACGGGTCCTGAGCCAATGGGAGCGCCAGATACGTCTGACTCACCTTGCCAAGGCGAATCAGCTCGACGCGCGCGCCCGGCCAGGATCTCGCGCGATGACCCGCTGCCTCAGACTTCACAATCAAAACCTTAAAGGGACTGAAAGCGTTCTCTCCCCGCCCTTATGACGCCAGAAACGATGTGGCCTAGATATTCCTCCGCGCTTCTCGCGCCGCTAAAGGGTAGAGACTGATCATATAAACCCTGGAAAGCAGTGCGCCTTTTTCTTTTAGCGAAGCCTGGAAAAAAATTCACTTTCTTTTCATAATTGCGCCCCGGGTCGTGTATTGGAAACTACAAGCGCGTAGGCTAGGCGGAGACTCGGAGGCCGAGATCACGTGGCTAAGGCGGATGGATACAGTGACGCAAGTTCGTAAATGAGACTATAAAAGGCTGGCGTAGACGCCGCGGCCATTTCCTCGCCAGAACTTAGATGTAGATGCTTGTGCTGTTCTGTTTTCCGTCCCCTCTCGCAGGGCCCGCGGCCGTCATGGCGCATTAGAGGCAGAAGTGCAGCGGCAGCGTTGGCCCTTGCAGCGGCGGCAGCAGCACCAGGCTCTGCAGCGGCAACCCCCAGCGGCTTAAGCCATGGCGTAAGTATCAGGCGGGCCGGGCGGAGGTGGCTGGACGCGACCCAGCGACCCGGTGGCGTCGCCGAGGGGGAAGCGGTTTTACGAGGCGCCTGCGACGCGTGGCCCTTGCTTGGGTGTCCCCGGGACGCCGGCGCGCCCCGGCTGGGAGGGCGCCACCTCGCTCCCCCGAGTCCATCCGCTGCTCCTCGCCGGCGCTCCCGAAACGTGGCAGCAGCTAAGATGGCGGCGGGCAGGGGCGGGGCCGGACGGCCGAATTTGGACAGGACACTGCCTGCTCCCGGGCTCGCTCTCCTGCCTGCCGTCCATCTGATACAAACCGGGTTGGGGCGCCGCGCGGGTGGGCCCTGTCTCTAGAGCCGAGTGGCCATCTTGTCTCGGCTGTAACGATGGCGATCGCGGACAGTCGGTCTCTAACGGGGCTTCTGTTCCCGGCTCCTTCCAGGCTTCTCACGGCATTCAGCAGCAGCCTTGCTGTAACCGATACAGACACCTTCGAGTCAAGCACGTTCCTCGAATTCAGCAAAGCCCCGAGATATGGCCGAGATGAGCTTCCTGAGCAGCGAGGTGTTGGCGGGGGACTTGATGTCCCCCTTCAACCAGTCGGGTTTGGGGGCTGAAGACAGCTTAGGTCTCTTAGATGACTTCCTGGAGGTGCCCAAGCACTTCAGACCGCATGGGTTCTCCAGGGTCAAGGCTAAGGTGGGCTCCTCCGACTGGCTGGCTGTGGATGGCTTGGTCGATGCCTCAGACAACGGCAAGGGTAAGTGACCAGTGGCTACCACTTAGCCTGGGCTTAGCCCCTGGTGGGATCCGGTGATTGGGCTGCCTCATGCAGCTGACATCCCTTTTATTATTTGCAGAGGATGCCTTCTCCGGGACAGATTGGATGGTGGAGAAGATGGATCTGAAAGAGTTCGACTTTGATGCCCTGTTCAGTTTAGGTGACCTGGAAACCATGCCAGATGAGCTTTTGGCTACGTTGGATGACACCTGTGATCTCTTTGACCCCTTAGTCCAGGAGACTAATAAGGAGCCCCCCCAGACCGTGAACCCAATCGACCATCTCCCAGAAAGTTTGCCACATACCGACCAGGTTGCCCCCTTCACTATTCTGCAACCTCTCCCTCACTCCCCAGGGGCCCTGGCCTCCACACCAGACCACTCCTTTAGTTTAGATCTTGGCAGTGAAGTGGATATTTCTGAAGGAGACAGGAAGGCAGACCCACTTCCTTATATTTCTGTAGTCCCTCAGTGCATAAAGGAGGAGGATACGCCCTCAGATAACGACAGTGGGATTTGTATGAGCCCAGAACCGTATCTGGGCTCTCCGCAACCCAGCCCCTCCACCTCTGGGGACTCCCCAAATAGGAGTGTGCTGTCTTCACCTACCGTTGGTTCTCCTCGGCCTAAACCGTATGATCCCATTGGAGAGAAGGTGGTAGCAGCTAAAGTAAAGGGAGAGAAATGGGATAAGAAACTGAAAAAAATGGAGCAGAACAAGACGGCAGCCACTAAATATCGTCAGAAGAAGAGGGCAGAGCAGGAGGCCCTGGCTGGGGAGTGGAAAGAACTAGAAAAGAAGAATGAGGCTCTGAAAGAGAAGGCAGACTCCCTGGCCAAGGAGATCCAGTATCTGAAAGACTTGATAGAGGAGGTCCGCAGGGCCAGGGGAAAGAAAAAGGGGCCCTAGTCGTGTACTTAGGAGTGTGCTTGTACATAGGCTTGTGCTGTAGCAATGTTGTAATAAATTATTTTGTAGTCAAAAGTACTTTCACAGGTGTGCTGTATATTTCGTGCCAGGGGACTGACTATACACAAACTTTCTGGGAGCTCGTGGGTCTTCCCCTCCAGGAACCCCAAGTTATGTTGGATTTGAGATTAACAACTGGCTGGGTATTTTCCTCAACTCTTAAGAGGATTCCTCTTGATAGTAACATGGGTAGTGGGCTGAGGACCTTAGTACAGGTGGTTAACGACTATCTGTGGCACAAGTACCAGGATGGGGTCAGTTCTTGAGCATTGCTACCTCCTGAGGGAGGACACCATTTAGAGTAAAAGGGCCCTGTAGATTTGTGCGGCCAGCCAGGAGTGAAGGAGTCATCTTAGCCCTATCGTGGACTCTGCATGTAAGGATGCTGGGCCAGCAGAGCTGTCAGGGTGGAGCTGAGCTCTCAAGCCTTCAGAGCTATGCATCCTTCCGCTCCAGTTATGTGACAGTGGTAGACAGTGATTCAAGTCTTGTTTGTAAACCAGGGCTGCCCCTGTCCTGGGTTTCAGTCTTTTGGGTGTTCTGGTGAGGCCAGCTGTGCAGAAAGAGTTGGCTGGCTAGATTAAGGTAGACAACTGCATGGCAATACCATCTTGAAGGATCCTGGTCACAGTAGTGGAGTCAGGATGCAAACTCTGGTTCCTGGTTCATGTTGGTTATTAGAAGGGCTTAAGAAGGAATATGTAGAGCAGGGCCCACCTTGGCAGGTGATAGCCTAGTTCTGTTCTCAGTTTGAGGTTCCCCATAGCTGGCTGTGTTTAGCCTTTATCCTTGGTTTGAAATCATCATGTTGATGTCCTATCTTGACAGCAAAGAAAATAGCACGAAATCAGCACAGGCACTGGTGTCAAATTGAACCTGTAGCTTAAGTGCCTTTTTGTAAGGATCACTTTGTTCCTGTTTTACAGATGGGCAAACGGGGCCCATAGCTTAAATTGCCTTCTGGGATCCAAAAGGCAGGGTAGTGCAGCAAAGTCTCAGCCACAAACCACCTCTCCCTCATGGCACCACAACCCCAGAACCTTGGCTTTGTGTCCCCATTTCTACATGCAGGTCCCTAATGTCACCTCCAAGACTGCCCCTGCTAAGGTCACAGGCCTGCTTTTCATAACCTATTTCTGATTAGGGAGCCCTGTGGTTATGCTAACTGGAGGGCTGAGGGTTCAAACCCACCAGCGGTTCCACAGAAGGAAGATGAGGCAGTCTTGATTTGTAGATACCAGCCTTGGAAACCTTTTTGGGGTTGCTGAGTCGGAGTAACAGGCAGCAATGGATCTGTGGGTACTTACACTATAGCTTCCATTCCCCAGCTACAACCCAAGTGAGCTCTAGGGCAGTGGGGATTCGTCCTGTGTTGAGTCTACAGGGCAGGGGAGAAGTGACGCATAGGATTCTCAAAGCTGCCATGTTACAGGAGCAGACTGCTGCATCTCTCGAGTGCCTGGTGGGTTTGAACTGCTAAACTTTCAGCCTTCCCCTTTCAGCTCTGATACTGTCAAATGTCCTCTGCACCATGTATTTAATGCCAGCTTCTCCCTTTCCCCAATTTGAGCTCTTTGTTGATAACTTCACTCTAAAAAAAAAGTATTTAGATGGGTGCACGCTGCTCCTTTAGAAAGGCAATCAGGAAAGGCCTCCCAGGAAGCCTGGTGAGCCCTGTGGGAGCCGGAAGGACTTGGGTGGAGGGTACAGCTTGGGGAAGGGCGCACACAGCTGGCCCGGGCCTTGTAGCCTCGATAAAGACTTTCATGTCCCCACCTGGTCCAGCCTTTCAGCTGTCAGGACAGCTGTTAAAACCACTGACGTGTTCCGCAGAAGGGTGTGGACACCTTTCCCCTCATTCCCCTCCGGTAAATGTCAGATGTGCTAGGCACCTGGACAAGCTGGGAGGTAGAGCCTACCTTCTCCTAGCTTGTGGGTGTGGCCACTGGGTGCTTCCTCCCTCTACCCTGGGATCAGTGGGGTAGACGCGGCCTCTTGAGGCAGGTGGCTGATTCTTGCTAAACTGCTTAAAGGATAAAGGGAAAGTGCCTGAAGGAGCTCTGGGCCCCTCTCCCCTGGGCTTACTTCTGCCCACAGGTGGGAAGCTGTGGGGACAAGAACCCAAGGCAGCACAGGCAGCCTTGGCAGAGGCTCTCCTCAGCTGTGGCCTCCCAGAGAGACAGGTTCTGTGGCCACCATGTGTCCTGTAGGATAGACACGCCCTGGTGGGTGTTACCCTGGGAACAAGGACAATCAGGCTGATGACTATGGACATCTGGGTTGTTGGGTGTGGTCACCTCCAAGCTTGACAGTGGGTAGAGGTGAAAAATGCCCCCTTTCAGGCCACCCTCAACTGCAGCCCAGGGAACCCCGTCTGATCCACCCATGCTCTCTACCTGGTACTACCTCAGGAACCACACAACCTAAGGAGCCTTGTGGACTTGGGCAGTTGTCCCAGGACAGTTGGGATGCCTGAGAGGTCCAGGCCTGTGACTTAGCAGGTCTTTAACCATGACCACCAGGGAAGTCTTACCCTTCCCTTCCTCACCCTTACATTGGCCCAACAGATGTCTTTTACATCTGCTGTCTCCAGCACTGTCTCCTGGGAGGGTCCAGCCTCTGCCTACTCGAAGGGGGTGCAGTTGTAGCTTCCTGCTCCCCTATTCTGCCCAGACACAAACCTGAACATGAGATCCTGTTTCTAAGGTTCCCACATTTCCCTCATATGACACAGGTAGGAAAAACACCACTGAGGACTTTCATGCCCTGGGTGACAGGAGGCCCGGCTGGCTGCCCACAATGGCAGACCCAACATGCCCCTGGGTGTGGGAAGATTGAGACCTTGGTGTGGCTTTATGGGATCAGATGGCTGCCAGACTGAGCTGGCCTGGGAGACTTATGACCTGAAGCTGTAAGATCCCTGCTGGGAAGTCCTTGGGTGCCAGAGGACCCGAAAGTCAGCATCACACAGGCAACTCTTGGGTGCACATTTATTAGAAACCAGAAGTCCACTAAGTGAGATCTCCTCCAAGCCCTGGGTGTGGCTTGGTTCCACAGCAAACATCCCAGAACCCTCCGTGAGCAAAAGTAAACTAAAGTCAGAAACATTCTTCCTGGCATGTGGGATGGCTCCTCCCAAGCCTGAGCAGCCAGCTCCAGGTGAGTGGAAATCCTTTCCAGAGTTTGCCAGCTCAGCTCCGTTCTAACCTGCACCCTGACTCCAGCTCCAGGTCTTCCCTGGCCAGGCGGGCCCCGCAGCGCCATCTGCTGGCCCCACAGCGCATGGTGGGTCCTAGCTGCCGAAGTACTCCTGCTGGAACTTCTGGAAGTCCTCCTCGGTGAACACCGTGCCCTCGGCCTTCTTCTTCTTCGTCTTGGTCACAGGCCTGTCGCAGGCCTTGCGGCCCCGGTTCTGTACCAAAATCTAGGGGCAGCCCAAGAGTTACTGCCCTTGGAGCGAACTACCTGGTCCAGTCGACCAAGTGCTGCCCCCAAGTGGCCGTCCCAATGGTCCTGGAGGCGGCACAGCCCTCCCACCTACAGAGACCCAGAGGAGAAGCCTCAGCTAAGACCCCCACCCCGTCACTTCTGGTGGCCTCCCCTGCCAACCTTTTGGGTGACAGCCTCAGCCACGGTGCTCCTCGTGGCGGTCAGGAATTTTAGGTTTGCTCTGAGGTGGTCCTGGCATTCTCGCTTCTGGAACTCGGCTGTGGGAGGCAGGAAGGGGCAGCATTTCAGCTTCATTCCATCACCCCAACCTCGGCCCTGCCTTCTCTGGACTGTTACAGCAACCTGAAAGCTTCAAATCCAAGCGCCACCAATCCTGCGCCAGTCCTCCCCTCCCAGGCTTCCCAGCTATTGCATCCCACGCACGTATGACGGGTCCAGCCCCATTCTAAGTTTAGAGGAGACACAACAGGCACAAAGCCCTGCCCTCATGGAGCTTACATTCTAACGGGAAGAGGGATGGTGCCCAAGAGAAGAGTATTTTAGAGGATGATACATTTTAACAAAGTAGGAAACAAAGGAGCAATGCCAGGGTGTGGGAGGTGAGTGAGTCGGCTTCCCCGAAATGACATTTGACTAAAGACTCAGTGTGGCATGTTAATTGCCTGGAGTTGGCCCCGTCCCACTTAGCAATTACATGCTTGGGGAGATTCTCGGTCACTTCTCTTCCATGAGGGTCGGAAGAGGTGTTCTGCTCACCTCCGTTATCTCTAGTATTCGGTCCTGTGCCTGGCTCGCAGCTGGTATTCTAGACACCCCGTGCAACATCTCAAGGCGCCGACCCCAACCCCAATAGCAGTACGTCCACTCCCTTTCCGAGCTCACCTAGCGCCGACTTGGGCACTTTTCCCTTGGCCGAGTTCCGCAGTTTTCGGCCCTGGGTCGCCTTTGCCTTCCGGGCTCGCTTCGCCGAGGACCCTCTCGGTTTGGCCTGTTTGGACGCAGACTGGGAGACTGCAGGGGAAAGAGAAGCGGGCGCAGGTCATAGGGAGGCAAGATACCCATCGCACCGGGATGAGGACCGTCCTGACTTTTCCGAATCCTGGAACTCCGGTACTCAGCTCCTGCTGCCCAACCACCCGTACGCGCCGGCATCCCCGGGCAAGCGCCCTCACCCTCGGACTGCCCCAGCAGCTCCAAGCCCCGCCGGAGCAGAGCCGCCGACATGACTACCTTCGGCTCCGCCCACGCCACTTCCGCCTGGGATGTTTTCATCGTCCCGCTGGAAACCCGAGCCTGATCAGAAGGTTCCGGAGTAGGCGGGCGGAAGTGCCAGCCTACCTTAGGACGCATGCGTTAGGAGTTGCCCGTTTATTACGAAGGGGGAGGAGGGGCGGGGCTAACAGTCTTTTGGTGTGGCGCTGTAGGATCAGCACTGGACTGCGAATCACAAGATCTGCAGTTCAAACCCACCAGCTGCTCCTTGGAAACCCTATACAGGGTTGCTATTAGTCGGAACTGACTCGACGGCACTTAACAACAACAACGCCAACAGTCCTGGTGTGGCGCTGCAGGATAATGCGCAAGATCAGCGGTTCAAACCTCCAACTGCTCTTCTTGTTAGGTGTCATCAAGTCGGTATCATCTCATAGGGACCTCATGCACAGCAGAACAAAACACTGCCCGATCCTGGGCCTGTTGCCACGCTTGAGTCCATCGATGCTGCCACTTGGCCAATCCATCTCTTTTTCTCTGACCCTCCACCTTGTTGTTGTTGTTAAGTGCCAATGAGTCGGTCTCGACTCATAGCGACCCTGTACAGGGTTTTTGAGGCTGTAAATCTTTACGGGAGCAGAAACCTCATCTTTCTCCCGCGGAACAGCTGGTAGTTTCGAACTGCTGACCTTGCAGTTCACAGCCCGATTCGTAACCACTACGCTACCAGAACTCCTTACCAAACACGATATCCTTCTCCAGTGACTGGTCCCTCCTGACAATATGTCCTAAGTATGAACATCCTGGCCTCACAGGAGCACTCTGGCTACACTTC